TGCTGCGAGCCTCAAAACACGATTCGAAGAGTGCAGGAATTTCCAGGAACGGCATGATCATATTATGTGTATGTATGTATATATATATATATACATATATATATATATGTATGTATGTATGTGTATATATACATATATGTTTAAGCTATGTGTATGTCCACTCTAAGTCTCTACGACAGTAAATCAAGCTTCCTGCTGCTTCCTGGCTCGGCACTTAGAGTAGGAATCAGATGACATTAGAAAGCAAGCTAGCAAGGAGGCCGCTTGCGAGCCTGCCATTAAGATTGCACACAAACCTTCTACTGGAACTAATGAAGACATTGTCTGTCTTTGGAGGTATGCCTTCTCTCTGTCTCATTCGCGTCACTCGTTCCCCAGCCCCCACAAATGTGCCCACCTTCTTTGGCTTCTCAGAAGCCTAGGACCAGGAGAAATGCACGCTTTAGGTCTGGAAAATTCTGGAAATGGACATGCAAACAGCTCTTGAGCCCCTGGCGGTGACCTCCTGAGTCCGGGAGCCTTGTGGTATGGCCTAGCAGACATCTTCACAGGACTTAGCGGATTCCTTTCTGTTCGGAACATATACTGCTTGAGAACTTTGGGCTTTCATCTTTTCGCCTCGATGTCGTCGGCGTGACATGATGAACTGAGCTACCGGAGGAAACCGAAACGCTGAGCCCTGTGGCGACTCCAGTTCATGGAGACCTGAAGCCCGAAAGGCACCCTGCCAAACCCCAAATCCGAAGTGTGCTCTGCAGCTACCGCTGTCAGCAGATCGGAGAGGCCTGGCCTCTTCAGTTTGGATGGCGATGGACTGGCGAGAAAGATGCTTTGAGGCATTCAGCCGGGTGGACGGAAAAGTTGCAACTGGTCTGTTCGCTGTTCGCACATATCGATGACATATCGGAATCTGCAGGCATACGTAGGCTTTCAGACCCTACCTGAGTCCTGAAGATCGTGGATAATCTGCACTGGCTACATTCCGGAACACTCTTCTGAACTCGGCCGGAAAAATCAGAACATCTTAAAGCGGCTTCAAAAAAAGGACCATGATGTCATGGTGACGAATAGGCGGTTGCAAATGATGGTCTGATGGTCATGATGGCAACCATGAGAGGATCAAGAAGCAACTGGTGGTGATAGTCATGCTGGCCATGACCTGATACACGTGACGATGATGATGGCTCTGGTGATGACGAGGCTGAAGACGGTGATACAAGTGTGTCGCCGTAATAACCTTGAAACCATATTGGCGGCTGTCAGCGGTGTGACGATGAACCTGCACAGCCAGCATCAACCTCAACCACGTCAGCAAAAATCATGACCACCACCACCAACAACACCAGCAGCAGCAGCAAGCAGCAGCAGCAAGCAGCCGCAGCAGGAGCAACAGCAACAAGAGCATGCGCAAGAGCATGAACAATAACACGAACAATAATATCACATAGTGCAACCACCACAACCAGCATCAACAGCATCAGCAACACTTGCAGCAGCAGCTGCAGCAACAGCAACAGCAACAGCAACAGCAACAACAACAACAACAACCACAACCACAACCAACAACCAACAACAACAACAACAACAACAACAACAACAACAACAACAACAACAACAACTAGCGGATGTAAAGAGTGCCACCCGTTTCAATAAGCAACATGCGATACCCGTCAAGGTTTTCGAAGAATAGCCA